TGTCTCTGAGCTTCAGCTGCAGTCACTGAGCTCTCCCTCGCTGTCTCTGAGCTTCAGCTGCAGTGTCTGTAAACCCTGAATTCTAGACAATGTGGAATTAAAACAAAGGGAATCTTCATGTTCTCCACTGGGAACTCTGACTGACTTCATCTGGGGGATTATTGCTGATTCCATTGCGAAGCAGATACGTGATAATAGTTCACATGTTACTGTGCTAAAGATGCACACAGTAAACAATTGGAAATACAGGTTTAATGTAATAAAGTAGATGTTGGCAGTACAGTTTCCAACCACAGCAATTTTAAGGAAACATTAAACATTAACATAAACATTAAATTGTGTTTATAACGTTTTTCTAATGTGGGAAACAAACTGAATTCACCTTTATTATAGTGTTAAATACCTTTTAAGAAGCTAGCCGTGCTGCTAATCTGTATTTGTTCACATTAAAAGTAACTTCAAGAAAGATGAAGGATTCTCGTTAATTAACTTCAGTGTTGTAGATCTAATGAAGAAGCCTCAGAAACAGATTTACTGGACTGCTGAGGAGTTAAAATACTCAGATTACTGCACAGTGAAGAGCTCAACCCCCATTGGCTCCTCCCGAGAAAAAGGTTCCTTTCAAGCCTTCAGCAGAGCCGGTGGAGATAAGAGGTTTCCATCAGAGTATAAAGAGCAGGGGGTCAGACAGCGAGGCAGAGCGACTGCAGAGCGACTGCAGAGCGGCTGCAGACAGACAGACAGGTGGACAGACAGACAGACAGGTGTGATGATGCTGGTATTGGTGGTTCTGTTCGGCGTCTGGCTGAACTCGGCCTCAGCTGCAAAGGTGAGTGTGACCTGATCACAGCTTCATACGTTTATCAAAGTATAAATCTGTTTTTTATATATTTCTGCTCTTTACAGACGCAGATATTCTGTTTATCTTCATGTTTAAATCAGCTGAGAGCGTTCATGGGAACTATTTTCAGCAGCGGATGAATCCACATTTTATGTATTTTATCATGTTTAACAATCATACAGACTTAATATTCATATTTTCTGACAGATTTACAGTTTTTTCCTTGTTGTTCAACAACAACAACAAAAACAACAATAACAACAATAATAATAATCTAAACTTAAAAAATAAAAATTCCATCCACAGAAAAGGAGACAGTGCTGTGTATTGTTTTAGTTTCTGCTTCCTCTTACTCAGTTTTATTGTTTGGCCCCTGGGGGTCCCGACCCTCGGGTTGCTCACACACACACACACACACACACACACACTCTTTAAATATATTCAGTGCTGGTTTGAGTCTGATCATGAAGACATATAAAGATTATCAGCAGCTCATATCAGTCACCGTCACTGTTTTGATTTGCTTCCTGACACACTAACCAATCAGAGAACAATAGCTTCCTACCGCACTGAGAACATCTGACCTCTGCAGCAAACACTGTCTTCGTGTGACCTTTTGATTTTAAGGGTGCAAGAAAACTTTAAAACTATACAGTGTAAAAAGTTTAATGAAATATCAGGAAAACTGCAGCACTTCAAATTCATCCAAATCTCTGGTTTTCCACAAACTTATATTATTTATTGAGTTCACTGTTTGTGTTCATTGATTGATCAGTTTATCAGCTGTTCTCTGTGTGTGTGTGTGTGTGTGTGTGCAGCTGGGCGTGGTGCAGACGGAGGGGGGGCAGGTGGAGGGGAAGAGTCACAGGATGGGGCTGTTCAGGACCGTTGACATCTTTAAAGGAATCCCCTTCGCTGACGTCCCCGGAAAGTGGGAGAAACCAAAACCTCATCCTGGATGGAGCGGTAAGTCTGTGACCTCCAGTGGGTTGACCTCTCACCTGGCTGCTGGGGTGTACAGGTGTACACCGTGAC